TATTGTTACATCCAGAGACAGATGTAGGACCTATTGGTAGATACTAAACCTGAGAATTTATCTTTTGTAAAATTTAAATTATCATATCCATGATATTAATGTTCTTTAGCTGTGTATGGTGGGAGGTTGGACTGGATGGCCCTTGCATTCTCTTCCAATTGTATGATTCCATCATTCCATGAATGTGGATTACTTAATAACTACTCGCATCCACTCATACTGTGCAAAGATCCCAAACTATAAAGTCATCACAGGGTTGTAGTTTGGGGGAGGCATAATAAGGCTAGTAACCCTTAAGTAAGAATTCTGGCCTCCAGTGCAATTTTCCTTCAGCTCCCAAGTTTTTAGCATTGCAATAATTTAATATTTCAGTTGAACATTTAAAAATACAATTTAAGCATCCAAAGAAGATGGGCAGACAAAGGGCCTTTGCAGACTGCCAGAAATAGTGCAAATTGAGTCCACTTTAAGGGTTAGGATTAGGGAATCATAGGAACTGTATTTTATTGTGGCACCAGAGCTCTCTGACAGAGAAGGCTCAATGTCTCAGAAAACAAACAATTCCCATGACTCCCTAGCACTAACCCTAACCCTTAAAGTGGACTCAATTTGCACTATTTCTGGCAATCTGCAAAGGCCCAAAGTTACTAAGGCAATGTGAAGGCAGCAAATAGAAGAGTGCAAACAGTTTCCAACATCTCACTCTGCAATGATAGAAATTTGGGTGATGATGGAAAATTTCATTCTTTTCACAGAAAAGAGAGGGAATATCTGCATTTTGCCCCCATAGCTACATTCCCAAGCTTTGTTGTTGTTGTTAACTGTTCTTGAGTAACCCCTGACTCATGGCGACCCTGTGGATGAGAGATCTCCAATCCCTCCTATCCTCCACTGTTCTGCTTAGGTCCTGTAGATTCAGGCCTGTGGTCTTCCTGATTCTGTTTCTCCATATTCTGTTCTGTTCTGTTCATACCATTCTGTTTCTCCAGTAGTCTAAGTACAGATTTCTCATCAGGACTATCAAATACAGTGGCACTGCCCTAAACACAGAGGGATTATTGCAGGTCTTGCTCTTTTCCCTGTACATATTTCAGTTTGTTTGTATTGAATTTTACCATACATTTAAAATATATTATTTTAGATATTTGTAATGTGTTATTTTAACTGTATGTTTGTATGATTATCCAACATGAACTGTCAGGGTATATATATTGAAATAATGGTAATATTCACAATGTGTTGCAAAGTGTGTTGGTGAAGTGGTGGCTCATCTTTAGGAGTCTGTGTGTTGAAATCATAATTTGTATGGTTCATTAGTAACAAGAGCCACTAGACTAGAGCTCTGAGAGACCAGGGTTCAAATCCCTATTCAGCCATGGAAACCCACTGGGTGACTTCAGGCAGGTCACACTCTCTCATTCTCAGAGGAAGGCAATGGCAAATCCCCTCTGAACAAATCTAGTCAAGAAAACTCTTTATTAGGTTTGCCTCAGGGCTGCTATAATTTGGAAATTAGCAGTAGCAGCAACAATAATAATAACATGATTCCTTAGTGCAGTCAGCTTTCCATGCCTTCAGATACTCATATGATGCCTTTTCCTCTGGTGGCATGGTAGAGCCTATAATATAGATGATGTATTAGTAGCAGGGATGATAAATCTCAGTCTTTCTAAGCCCCAAAAGATGTAGATCACAGAACAATTAACCAGTTTTTTTGTACTGTAGATCCAAGACATTTGGGAATCCCTCCCCCACCTGGAATGAGAGACTGTGTAGCTTTTCTTTGAAAGTTGTGCAGCGTTCTCAGAAAACTGCATAGTTTTCCAGAAGTTACATAGCTCCTCCTGAGAACTGCACAGCCAACTCTGAAAGCTGATTTCAGAGCAGCCGTGTGGACTGATTTCAGGCAGCCGTGTGTGCGTTTTGTGGAAGATTGCTTTTGTTATGTAGTAAGTAGCAGTGCTGCACAACAAAAATATTGCATAACAAAAATGTGCAAAATCATCAATGTTGCACAAAAAATAGCCTCATGGTTTTGTTGTACAACATTACTGATTTCTCTGTAAAAACCAGCAATGTTGTGCAGCACAAATGTTGTGTAAAATCAGCAGTGTTGCAGAATAAAACCATGTGTGGCTCTTTCTTTTCCTGCTTTGCAATATTTGGGTTGTGCAACTTTCAAACTGTCAAAGGCTGCAGCTGCAACATGGAATGAATGCTTCATTCCTTTGTTTGTGTAGCGATATAGTGTAGAATTTAGTTTATATTTTCTGCACTTTCCCTGAAGATATAGTGAAACACAATGTAAGTGGGTGATGGGTTGTTGTTTTTCCTATCAGGAAGCTGCACAGTTTTCTGTGTGTACTAAAAAAGAGTGTGAACATGGGTTTTGACTGCAAAGCTGCATGGTGTCTCAGAATCTTGCTGTTCTCAGAAACTACAGTTTATATTGTGCCAGGAACAAACAGAACACAAAATAGTTCCTGCAATTTGTAGGCACTTCTGATTTTTCTTCCCACCTAAGTTTCTCAAGGGTTCAGGAACTCCAAATTCAATCCCAGTTGGGAAATCGATACATTTCCATTCCATCCCTTTGTTGTTAACTGCCCTCGAGTTGATCTCAATTCATGGTGACCCTATGGATGAGACATCTCCAAGATCTTCTGTGCTCCACTGATCTGCTTACATCCCATGACCTCCTTAATAGAGTCCATTCATCCGGCATGTGGCCTTCCTCTCTTCCTACTTCCCTCCACCTTCCCCAGCATTATTGTTTATTCCAAAGAGTCCCCTCTTCTCATGATGTGTTTGAAGTATGACAGTTTGGTCATCTTGGCTTCCAGGGAGGTTTCCAGTTTGATCTACTCTAGGATCCACTTATTTGTCTTTTTGGCTGTCCATGGGATCCTGAGCACTCTTCTCCAGCACCACATCTCAAATGCATTGATTTTCTTACTATTATCTTTCCTAAGTGTCCAGCTCTCACATCCATACATGGTAATAGGGAATACAATGGCTTGTATGATTCTGACTTCTGTGCTGAGTTATATATCTTTGCATTTTAGAATCTTTTCTAATTCATAGTCACCCTCCCCATTCTTAGTCATCTTCTGATTTCCTGACTGCAGTCCCCATTTCTATCAATGTTTGATCCCAGATATGGGAATTCTTTTACCATTTCTATTTTTTCATTGTCTAGGTTGAAGTTGTGAAGGTCCTCGGTGGTCATTATTTTTGTTTTCTTTATGTTCAGCATTAAGCCTGCCTTTGCACTTTCTTCTTTGTTCTTCCTTAGTAGGTGTTCCAGGTCTGTGAAGTTTTCTGCTAGTATTATGGTGTCATCTGCATATCTTAGATTGTTGATATTCCTTTCTCCTGTTTTCACTCCTCCTTCTTCTATGTCCAAGCCTGCTTTTCTTATAATATGTTCTGCATATAAGTTGAGCAGATAGGGTGATAGGATGCAGCCTTTTCTGACTCCTTTGCCAATTGCGAATCATTCTGATTCTCCGTGTTCAGTTCCGACAGTAGCCTCTTGTCCTGAGTACAGATTCCTCATCAGGACTATCAGATGTGCTAGCACTCCTATGTCTTTAAAGGCGTTCCATAGCCTTTCATGGTCAATGCAGTCAAAGGCTTTGCTATAGTCTATAAAGCACATGCTGATTTTCTTTTGCAATTCCCTGGTATTCCCATCTCTAATCAGTAGTTATCAGTAGGTGTTGTGGTTTGTTTTTCAATTGTTGTGAGTTGTCTTGAATCCTTTGCTGGGAAAAAAGCAGGATATACGTTACACAAAGAAATAAATATTTTCTGGTGCTGCAGTTCTGCAGTGCAACTTCTTTGAATGTAAGCACAAGAATGACCAAGGAGACAGTGGGGTTGTTCAGTAGAGATGGTAAAATGCTAACAGATCACAAAATGTAGAATTACTCAATACCTATTTTGCTTCAGTTTTCTCCCAAAAAGAGAACTGTGCACTTCCATACAGCAGCAGATACCTTGGCAAGGGATCTGGTTGCAAATCAAGATTGATAGGGTGTTAGTCAGGAATCACCTAGCTAACCTCAGTGAATTCAGATCTGCAGGGTCAGATGAACTGCATCCCAGAATACTTGCCATTATTTTTGAGAAATCTTGGGAAACAGGTGAGCTTCCAAACATTGTCTCTTTTTTCAAAAAGTCAGTGAAGAAGATCCAGGACACTACAGACCACAAACCAGGAAAATTTTTAAAACGGATTATACAGAGGTCTGTCTGGAAATATCTTGATTTTGCTGTGATATTTATCTTCCTGCACTAAGTCTTCAAGTTCATCTTGTTTGTTTCCCAAACTCTTTACATTGACATATAGACATGTGAAATCTTGTTTGTTCTCATCTATTAATTTACTGTCAGTTTTACTGTGGATCCTGTTCTATACACCAGCTTCTCTAGAATTCACAGCCTTGTGTTTAGAATTTGCTTTTGGGCTGATGTTTGAGTTATCATCAACACCCACCACTGCCAGGATTTAATTTAAAGCCTTCTCGATCAGACTTGCCATGCTACAACCAAAGACATTTCTCTGAAGATGCCAACCACAGATGCTGGCAAAACGTCAGAAACTCTTCTAGAACCTGGCCACACAGTCCACAAAAAACCAAAGACATTCTTCCCAGTCTTTGCAAGGTAAAGCCCATCTGTAATTCAGAGGATGAGACAAACTGATACTGATTAGTAGGTTTAGAGATTGCTTAGTGGTATTGTTGTTGTTATGTATCTTCAGATTGCCTCTTTAGTTATAGTAACCTTATCCTTGGTAAGAAATATTTGGAGGAAGTTTGCTGTTGTCTTACTCCTGGACTGAGAGTATGATTTGCCAAGGGTCACACAGTGGGTTTCTATGATTAAATGGAGATTCATATCCTTTTCTCCCAAAATCCTAGTCCAGTGTTCAAACTACTACATCACATTGGTTTATCAGGATGTTACATAGAGTCGAACTCAGCCTCGCTTGAGCCAGTGTGACGTAGTGGTTTGAGCAGTGGACTACGACTCTGGAGAGCAGGGTTCGAATCCCTTCTCAGCCATGGAAACCTACTGAGTGTCATTAGGCAAGTCACACACACACTCAGCCTCAGAAAACCCCATGATAGGTTCACCTTAGGTCAGGGGTCAGCAACCTTTATTACTGGGGGGCCGGGAAGGGGGGAAATGGCACGGGGACCAGGCGGCGTGCGTGCGCAAGTGCAGGTGCCATTTTGGACACCAAAATGGCGTCTGCACTAATGCGGGGCGGCGGCAGGGGGACTGGCCACAGGCCGGTTCCAAGGTCTAGGTGGGCCGTAGATTGTTGACCCCTGCCTTAGGAATTACTTGAAGGCACAAAACATACTTGTAACATGTTGCATCCTCAAAAAGGATGACAAGAAGAACTGTAAAATCTAAAGATAAAATCTAAAGATAACAAAAAATCCAGCTTGCATCTTTCTACACATTTCCTATAAATTAGCCCCTAACTTCCCAACTGTCTTTTACAAAATAACTTGTGGTGGTGTGCCTTCAAGTTGTTTCTGATTTATGACCACCCTAAAGGGAAGCTATCACAGGTTTTTCTGTGGTTGAGAGTATGTGACTGACCCAAGGACACCTTGTGGATTTCCATGGCTGAGCAGAAAATTGAACCCTGGTCTCCAGAGTCATAGTCCAATGCTCAAACCAGTACACTACACTGGCTCTCAGAACAATGTATATTGGTTATTTTTATAGACATACTTTTAAAGTTTGTTTTAAGTGGTGGATTAATTGTTTATCTGTTCACTTATTTCATTGACACCCTGCTCCACAGCTGAATTTAACCTCAAAGTCTTACATACCAATAGAAATGAAACAAGACAATTCCTACTCTCTGGATGATAGTTATAAAATATACAACACCTACATGCACAAAAATAGGATGAGTAAGAAAACAGACACAAGCATTTATATTATGAGAGTGATAAAATCACCAGTTTTAATGCCAATGTATTGTTATAGTTTAGCCAGATAATCTTCGTCTTTTCATCATGACTATCTAGATCAGGGGTAGGCAACCTAAGGCCCGGGGGCCGGATGCTGCCCCCCGAGGCCTTTGGACCGGCCCTAGGCTGGTCCTGCCACCGCTGCCGCTGCCGCCTACCATGATGATATTGATTATTGTTGTTATTACTTGTGCTTGGGGTTTTCTTGACAAAATCTCCACAGGGGTTTTGCCATGGCTTTTCCGGGGCTGAGAGAGTGTGCATGCATATTTTTTTTTAATTTTTAATTTTTTTAAAAAAATTATTTATTTATTTATTTATTTATTTATTTGCTTCGGCCCCCCAATTGTCTGAGGGACAGTAACCCAGCCCCCCAGCTCAAAAAGGTTGCCTACCCCTGATCTAGATTATAAACTGTTCAAAGTGAGGCAGAGCTCTGAATTTCTGATTTAACAATTCAAGTGATAGGAATGCCCTGCTTCCTATCTTTTCTCTTCCTCAGCCTGGTGGAATGGCTGCTAGATAACAGGTGAGAGGCAAAGTCCACTGCATCTGATTTTCCTTCTATTTTGGTCTTTTGAGTTTCTGCCAGGGATGTAGCTGCAGGATGCAAAATAAGAATTCTGTCTCCCAAAATGAAAATTTCCTTCACTTTACAAATTTCTGAGCAGTGCAGAGCAAGACACTAAACATCATTTACACTTCTCTATATTTGTTGTGTTCACATTCCTTTGGTAGCTTTGCTCCTTTTCTTTGGATGTTTAAACTCTACTTCTAAATGCTCAAACTGGAGTTTTTAAGTTACTGCAATGCCAGAAGCTTGGCGACTGAAAGAAAATTTCATGGGGGCAGCATTCTTATTTGGGTCCAATATCATCATTTCTCCCTCCCCCTGTAATTACACTGCTGATTCTTGCCCACTTCACAAAACATATTAATATATTGATATATATTATTGAAGGCACTTAGTTTCCAAGTAGATTTAAACAAAAGGATTTTAGTATCAGAAAAATTAATGGGGTGGGGGAATTCAGTGTCCTTTATACTGACAAGGGTGACAGTAATATCTAGACAACAAAGTCTTGGCATGGGAGTGACCTCGTGTTAAAGCAGTATTTTTTCTTCTTCTTTTTGAAACAATAAACTGAATGAATACCAGTCACATATTAGTTTAGTAGATTGTTAAAAAAGAAAATGAGCTGTTAAGATTTGTGACACACCTATATTTAGCTGAATCTTTCATCAGTGGGCAAAGCTTTGTTGTCTTTTAATCTGCCAACCTGCAGGCAGCTTGTACAGACATTAGAGAAAGAAAAGAGCAATTACACATCAAATGAGTCATCGTGCTTCGTGAAAGTGACATTTTCCCCATGTTTCTCCTCCATATTTTCTAGTAATACCATATGTTCAGTTTTGTACAAAGAAACCCACAGAAAATCTTTTTCACTGTCAAAGAATGAACAGGAGCTTTTTTTGCATGTTCAGATGATGCATGTTCAGTATTTTGAAGTACCATAATACTGAACTTCAGAAATTAAGTTCCGGCCAGATTTCACTTTTTTAAATTTTAGATATAAGTACAGGATTTCAAAATTATCACCAAGGGCCAATTTGCACTGCAACATTAAGGCGGTTTGACACTGCTTTAACTTGGAAGTTATAGCCTTCTCTGTCAGCGAGTTCTACTGCCACAACAAACTACAAATCCCAAGGTTCCTTATCACCAAGACATGGCTGTTAAAGCAGTGCCAAATTTTTCAGTGCAGATGTAGCCTTAGTAATATCCTTCAATTCCAGTGTTTTCCCTTTTGATAAATTTTCTGCATTTTTTTAAAAAGTCCCGTGCATCAGCTTGGTGAAGAGCCTTCAGTTTTATTGTGTTTTGAGCTTTGCATTTATAAAGATATTATGCTGTAAGGTCTTAGATTATCCCGTCATCATATATGTTTTGGGGGGTGCAAATCCCACAATCTCCTGTCTGCAATGGCCATGACTGTGGTGGCTTGAGGACTCTGGGAATTATAGTACAAAATGGAACCTTTTCAAGTTCTTATTCAGTGTTTAGTGTCTTGTTCTGCAACAGCTGCATATTCATATGGAAAGTACATAGCTCAGTAGAAGAGCACATTCCTTGCAAGCAGTGGTCAAATTCCAATTTCTGAGATCATCTAAAATGATCTCTCTAACATAGGGGTAGGCAACTGTGGAAGGCTAGGGGGCTGTATTAACCACCCAGGAGACTTTGGAGGGCTGCACCTGCACTGTATCTTTTCCAGCATGTATAAATAATGTATAAATAAATAAATAATTTTGCCCCCTCCTCTATGCCCTTCACAGGAAATGGGTGCATTCTCACCATATTTGGGGCCCCGGAGGACATTTTAGAACATTTTGAGGCAGGAAAATGTTGTTTGGGCAATTTTGCAATTTTATTCAAAATATGTTGGGGGGATACCCTCTACATCATCTAAAGATTGTTTTATGACATACTGGAACAAAACCGGTTTGTGGGGGAAATCCCCCTTTTTTGAAAAAAATGTTTTACTTCTAGGAGGCCCTGGGTGCCACCAAAACAGCCCAGAACTTCATGTGGCTCATGGGCTGCTCAATTGATCACTGCTGTGACTAACCAAGTCTCTGATTCCAATCTTATTGCCATGAATTCTGTAGGCAGTGTTAGGTAAGCCAAACTACAGTCATCCCCAATCTGACACCCTCCAGATTTATTGAAATATAGTTACCATGATCCTCAGCCAGCATGGCCATTGGCAGTTTCTTGAGCAGGGATTTGTATTATAGTCCAGTACATATGCAAGGTGGTAAGTTGGGGAAGGCTGCTATAACATCTCAGCCTCAGTTAATATGTAATATAAGATTTAGGGTTGCCAGATTTTCTGGAAATCAGTACAGGACATGTGGTGCAGACTTCTATAAACCATCCTCAAATTGATGAGAGAAGAGCCTCTTCCAGGATTTCAGATCTGTAAGAAGTCAAAATGCTATGCAGATCTCGCAATGCCAGGCCAGTCTTTGTGAGATGAAAATTGTACTCTGCTGCTGAGTCTCAGTGCAGCAGATGGAAAGGAGTAGAACCCTTTGCTGGTATTCCAGCAACCAGTCTGTTTATTTAATGAATTTGTGCCTCATGTTTCTTCCAGGATAGGATCCTAACATTTGCTATGCAATGCCTGATTGCTGCATACATACTTGAAGGTCAGTCTGATGGGAGCACTGCTGGCACCTGCGTCAAATAGAGGATTTTGGACATCTCATATCACCCTGATATTAAATCACTAAAATTAAGGAACCCAAATAGAGTGGGCCCTTGGTATCCACTAGAGTTGGTTCCAGGATGCCCATGGATACCAAAATCTGTGGATGTTCAGGTCCCCATATATACAGTGGTGTAGTAAAATTTTGTCCCTTATATAAAGTGGCAAAACCAAGGTTTGCTTTTTGGAATTTGTTCAAATATTTTCCAGTTGTGTATGGTTGAATCTGTGGATACGGAGGGCTGATCAAATGGGACACCTGGAAACCCTACTATTCTAGGGATCCCTTCCATTAGCAGTCATTTGTAAGAGCCAGGGAAGGAAAGGGCACCTAAAAAGGGGAGAGGGGTTAATGTGTAATAAAATTAATAATAGGATGCACCATAAACAGCAGTGGGAGATAAAGTGAAAGTATAATTCCATGAATTTCATTTGTCTATTTGAAGCACTCATCCATACACTTACACACACAGAACTTTTAGCTGAAAAGCTCCCAAAGTGACTTACAAATAGTGTGCCTGCTGATTGGTTTACAATATAATGGTAGAGGTTGTTGTTATTGTTGTTTGTGTGCCTTCAAGTTCATCTTAATTATAGTGACTGTAAGGCAAACATATCACATGGATTGTTCAGAGGAGTCTTGCCTTTGCCTTCCTCTGAGTCTCAGAGAGTGAATTGCCCAAGGCCACCCAGTGCTTTCCATGACCAAGTGGGGATTCGAACCCTGGTCTCCAGAATCATAGTCCAGTGCTCAAACCACTACACCATGCTAGCAGAGGACAAGCAGGGAATAGGAAA